GTTATGTTTCCGTGCTTGTTTGCCCAAAAATATACTTGAATTTATAAAGGCAGTCAAATCAATGATAAAAACGCATGCTATTGATGTATTAACTTTTTAGAGTGCATGCGTTTTGTTAGCGGTCAGAACAAAGCTCGTTATAAAGCCCGCATCGTATCGTGAATGAAATAACTGCAGCATAGACTACACGATAATCAGCATCACAACCTGAGTCAATGCCGACTAGCGAAGGGGTATCAATATTCCGCATCTGTCGGCATGTTGCACGAATTCTGGCGTGTACTGTATTTGATTAACCTGTCCGTGCACTATGAAAGTGAATTCTATTGACTTTGTGCATAAAACAAAAGGATATTGAGCGTACGCAGGAGAAGACGAAGCAGTCTGTGCTGCTTTGTAAATCTTGATGCAAAAATATGCATACCAAAGCTTTTTGACTCCTTATATTGCAGTTGGTTTAGGGCTTTCATGTTTATCGCAGTGACCTGTCAAATACCTTTAGTTATCAATCGTCTATCGGCGAGTACATTGAAGCTGAAGACGTTCTTTAAGGCTGACCACCCAGTTGTTGTTGGAAGTTAACTGAACGTATAGTACGAGCACTCGTGGGAACACAACATTCATTCTAGCACGTGAGATGTCAAACGTTGTCGGTGGGTTATCAAAGGGTGATTGTGCTATGTCTCAAGAAATTGGTAATGTAGTAGCCAAACAAAACCGTCTTAAAATGGACTTGTAGTTCTAAAGTTAACTTTGCTAAAACGGAGTAATCACATGAAACGACAATTTTAGAAAAATAAAATAATAGCATTGGGCTGTATCAGGAAAGGCAGTTCACAATATCTACTTTGTGGACTGTAGTAAGTAGGCATAATTTCGGATATTTTGGTTTAACCTGTTCATAATATGTACTTGAATTTAACGCTAGCTGGTCGACCTAGACCTGGTGCTATCCTTTATTGCAATTCTGTGGAGATTTGCTGTAATTCGCTGTATCTTCGATACACATTTTTATTTAGCTGTATCTGTGTACTCATTCCTGAACTATATAAGTCTTAATTCACTGATTTAGCAGTTTGTTAATGTGGCGTCTAGCATCTAGACAAAACACCTTAAAGGGAGTTTTTTCCGATCTCGACAGTCACGCGGAGGCGAGGAAGGCCTTCACGTGGCTTCACGTGCTTGCTCACGTAATCAAAAGGCTTTTGCGTTGAGACCTCGATCCTTGCATTTTTTACCAAGTCATGGCTACTCAATTTGTTCTCCATTTTCAGTGAATTTATGATTATCTGAAAGATATACATACACATGCATAGATAACTGACTCTGCTCATGACTAAACGGAGCAAAAGTACGGGTCTGCTTTCTTTCCTGACAAAATCACACGATAGTGTGACTATGAACCACGATAAATGTGTTAATCGCAATAAAACCACTACGGGTCAAATTGGCGATTGGGATGAACTAGAAGGTGGCCCACAGAGACATAAATAATTCATAACATTAAATTTTGGAAACGCTGGCAGCCTTTGTGGGATTCAGTGCCAAGACAAAAAAGAAAGAAAGACTTAAGTACAACCAACTTGGTAACGAGCTGGCTTACGGGAACTTAAATGGATATCTGTCTAAAATAGTAGCTATTGCGCACCTACTGGTGTGGCTTGAGGCTGACCCTAACGCCGTACGGGAGGTGTGAGTTCCATTGGCGATCGGTGCATTTGAACCAATGAATGTCAATAGTCTGGATATTCAGATAGTATTGCCGGCAAAGAAAAGGGAGACTGAAAAGACCTTTTCTGGCTCATTGGCCAGATGATGCACCACCCGAGGCTCGGGGTCTAACGCCCTATCTACCGAGCCGAGAGCTCGTCGTCTCACCGGTGTAGATTGGGAGATATTGACGCTCGCTGGTGAACGTTCACCAACCGCTAACGAAACTCCCCTGTCCCGCTCTGCTCTACATTTGACATAATTTATCGGGTCCTGACAGCAGTCATAGAAACTAGTAATGGTCGATGGACCGTTGGTGAAAGTTCATCAACGAGTGTCACTATTATTTAATGGTATTTACCGACAAACGGAGAGCACACTCACGAAGGCCTTTTC